AAGAAAAGGCGGTATATTCCCAGCAAAGTGGGACAAAACAAAACTAAGTAATTTTTAACAAACCGATGACATATTATTGATCAGCAGAGGTTACTGTATGGTCTTTGACAAATTTCATCAAATTTGACCGAAATGCAAAATCATTAAGGACTGGTGCGTGGTACTTTTTTGTATTTCAGATTATGATCCTGTATCCGTAACGTGTAGAGGGTGGGTTACCCCCATGGCACTTAGGCCTCACTAGGTCCATTGTGCATCCTCCTAAGATGATAGACACCTCCTAGCTTGTGAACCAGCCTACAAATTTAATGTAGTTTACAACGTCGCCAAGAGGTGCTTGTCTTATATGGGCCGGTGTTAACCGATACTTGCCGAATACAAATCTCCTAATAAATGAGAGCGTCGAGCAATCGTAGAGGATATGCTCGATGGTGTCATCTTCTTGGTCGCACCCCCTGCAGAGTGCGGATTCTGACAGCCCCATGATATCTAGATGCTTCCTTACTTGACAATGACCAGTCAGAATGCCTGTGACTGAGTAAATTCTATCTAGTCATAGTCAAGTATTTATTTGCTGTAGTGTTGTCAGGATAACTTAAAATCTCCCTGACAACTCTGCAGTTTCTTGTTTTATCCCATCTTTTCTTGAATTTCACAAGAGAATGTTTTTTAATTAGGTCTGTCACAACTGATTTTGTCAGGCCAATAAAAGGGCCAGGTCCAAATATTATTTGGATGGCTGCTTCTTGGCCAGTGAATCAGCAAGACAGTTTACCTTTCGATGTGGCGTGATCTTTGATCCATCTTGTTGATAGATACTTCGGCCAAAGCTTTGTGACATTCTAGTAGTAACCCTGAGTAAATTCGTGGTCTGTTTAGGGTGAGTAGTGCTTGACTGCTATCTGTATTATAGATCAGCATGTTCCTTCGAGTGATATTGTTTCTGATGATTTATTTTGCTGCTATGAGAATCCCCGTGAGCTCTGTTTGAAGATATTATGATCCTAATGATCTCCATGCAGGTTAAGAAATATAAACTATTTTTAACTACACTTTTTTTATTATACTAATAAGTTATTTTTTATTCATTCTCATGAATAACCATCTTAATCTTTAATTCTCAATAAGATTATTATTCGGCGTAATAGACCCTTTATCTTTTGGAAAATTATCTGCTATTATAATTTTAAATTTCCCTGCTAATGACATGATAAATGTATCTCTGTGGAAAATAATGAATATTATCAAAAGATAAAATTTGTGTATACTATTTTTTGATGTTAGTTTCGTTTTGATTTATAATTTTTACGTAACAATATTTGCAAAATTATACTAATCGTTATAATCAGCTAAAATTGTAAGCAAGCAGTAACCCAGAAACAAAACTAGATAAAGGATAAGGAAACCTTGACATCTTTAAAATTACTATTTCTTTAGAAAGTTGTTCCATAACATAAAATTGAGGCGTTGATTTCAAAAACAGCATGAGTCCAAAAATTTAGTTTTTAGGGAATAGGATACAAAACAGTTTACCTTGATGCAAGTTTAACTTACTATCCAACTAAGTATTTAGATACATTTTTTGGAGTCTAAGAGTTTTTTACTACTGGTTATTATCTGGCTTACTTATTTTTTTCTAAAGAAAACAAAAATAAAACAATTGGATATATTGTTTTTACCAGAATTAGAGTGACATGTGTATTTTTTACCAGAAACAGACCAAGTTGCCCGTACTATGGTTTATATGTTCTAACCCTTTTGCATTCTTTATTTCTATAGATTGCTTTACCCATAGATATATAACCAAGACAGATAGGATTATTTACAAAATTTTTGAAGAATGAACGGTGGTGTCCGCGGTAGAAACTCAATAATCGGATTGAACATTGATGCCAAGTTTACGTGCTTTTAACTATAGATATATATATATATATATATATATATATATATATATATATATATATATATATATATATATATATATATATATATATATATATATATATATATAACCAATACAGATTGCACAATTTCTGAAGTCAACGCGGATGATCCTCGGCAGAAATGCAATATTTGGATAAAATTAAAATATTGATGCCAAGTTTGCTATGTTTTTAACTGTAGTAATGTTATTGCCTTTGCTTGAATTACTGTTAGGTCTTTAAATTGTCCAAAAAAAAAATAATGTCTGACAACAGCGGAAGTAGAGTAGACCGCAATTGTGGAGGGTCGTATATTGTTTCATTCATAAAAATTCCTTCGATACAGTACTAGTCCAGGAGCCAGTGAATTTTTTCGTACTTGTTTTCCCGGTCCGTGTATATTTAAATAATCTATTCCCGGTGAACTGTATATTTAAAATGGAACGCCAATCTATTAACAAAAGTAAGCCAGATTGAATTCGCGCATTACGTCACATCGATACAAGTGAGATTGTTTACAAAGTGCCTTTGCAGGCCTATTTTGCCCATTTCATGTATTTGTTTTTAAATCATGTTAAATTACTATTTTTGAAACTCAACAAGGAGAAAATCCAATTAACTCTTCCGTTGTGTATATATAAGATAAATTACCTGAAGTTTTATTAGTAAAGTATTAATACTAAAATTTTAATGTAATTTACAGAAAATAGCTAGGCATGTATTTGTTTTTAAATAATTTGATAATTTATGAAAAAAGGGAGTAAAAGTGGAATGACCAGTGGCCAGTAGGTCAGTCAATACAAAGTATCATATATTTCTATTATAACATAACTAAAATACCTACATCTTTTAATCATAAGGACATAAGTTAAAAACCATTTTAATATATGCATTAGAATGAAGTAATAATAACTTAAAGAGACGAGGTCTTAAAGTAATAGCTGGTACAGCATGTTTTTTAAACGTTTCCTCATTGCTGCTAGAATGAAATCACTTACTATGAAATGTGCTCTAAAAACGGCATTTATAGCAGTCAGTGTTCAGTCTTAGGATCTCTTCCTAAAGCCCTCATCCAAGCTGCATACATATTAAAAAATAATTTTAAAAAAAACATATTATATACCTATATAATTTTCGGTTCTGGGTGCCCTAAAAGAGGACACTTACCGACAATTTGGCTCAGATAGCTAAAACCCAAAAGTCACACCCCGAACCAGGATGTATTGTTATCCTTTTAAGTAAAAAATAACTACAAATAACTTACCTGAAAAATGAAGGCGTCTAACTTTACACCAAAAAAATCATACACTTTTTCCCATTGTTGCAAGCACCCGATGACGATTAGGTAGATATCAACTAGACGCATGTACTTAATGGTTATAAAGCTTATTTTAACACAAAAAGAATAAAGCACTAGTCGAAAAGCAGCAATCAAATATAAATAGACCACAATATTAAAATTCAAATTAAAAACTATATAAAAGACAAATACTCTAAAAGCGCAAAATATCAGAACCAAATAAAATGAATAACCATAATAACCTAAAAATCACACTAAAATTGCAAAAACTATTACTGTAAAATCATGAGATTACATCAATAATGCATATGCGTCGGAGTATCGCAAATGTCAAAAGTACAGTGTTTCCATGAAAATTTAGCTATGTTTTTAGCAGTATTATAGGACCATTTCTACCACGCGCATCCAACGATATTGGCGTTCCACAGTTCACTGTATTTTCCTCACACCTCTAGTATAAATGATTTGACATAACGAAACTAACAATAATTATAATTAATGTAGTGATAATAAGTGATTCGTGAATTCTAAATAAAACAATTATTATATAAAAGTGTAAAAGGAAATGTAATTTATTTCCCTATTTTCAGAATATCTTCAATTATTATGTTTAATTTCTATAAATAAACCAACTGGTTAGGTGAAACATTGTGATATAAGATTTTATTTATGTGTCCTATGCGTACACTTTAATATACAAAACACCTGGAACATTCTTTAAATAATTGTGGTCGTAGAAATAATTGTGTACATAACTCGTTTGAAAGTGTATTTTATGCACTTGCCAAATATATTATCCATACAGATTAATCAGACTATTTTTTTACTTAACTTCAGTACATCTCTTACTACTAAAACTATTTTTATCAATGGAAAAAAAGGGCCGTGTTCTCGTATGTTTTGACGCATTTTTGGCCTCAGCCCATCGGATCCCCCTCTAAATATATATGAAGTTTGCTTAGAATTGCTAATCCTACAATTCTCTATTCGTGCTTGCTGACTGGGAAAATAAATACCGAAAATCTCCTGGACTATACAATAGATGATGATGAGAATTTCACAACAAATACACTTTTATGAATGGCTAGTTGGGGATGTGGCTTTACCTTTTTGGCTTTCTTTTAGGCAAATTGGTTTTCTCCGTATCATTATTTATTTTGTATATTGTCAATGTGTCAACAATAACGTATTGATTAAATTAATGAAGAACTGAATACGCTAGACAGGTTATAGTGTTTCAATCTTGCAAAAAACAGCATATGTATTGCAACAATGCTGATTTTAATAAAAACAACTGTATATATCTTGTTTTTGCCGAATCAACTAAATTTAGGTAAGTATAAATCGGCACAGGGGCGGTTTTTGCAGGAACTGCTAAGACCATTAAATAGCTTGCAAAATACACTACTAGATGCCACTAAGACCTTGAATTTGATAATTTTGGACTTATGCTGTTTTTGCAATCAACGCCTCAATTTAAAAATCCTGTACCGACTACCATTACTTTCTATTAAATAATGTTTCTTTATGTTTTATAAGATAAATCTTAAAAATTATGTGGCTAATGGATCGTTTCCAAGCCAACATCTACTCCAAGTTAACCAATATCTTAAAACTGGAAATTTTTAAGATATAAGATCCTGAAAGATACAATTGTTAGCGTAAAACAATTATTACTTTTTCCATTTACTGTTATTCGCTCCGTTACACCTGGCCTAACACCCTAATCGTGGTAAGCGTCATCGTTTCCATAGCAACCACTTCCTAATGCAACCAAACAAGTTTGTTTTCTTACAGCTGTATTATGGTATTATGAAATGTGTCAAATCGTCAACAAAGACACTAGGTTTTTGATTGTTTGAAAGTTATCTCAATGAGACCAGAAAATTCTTCATTCGGCTATAATGTAAGTACCGAGTTTAAATTTTAATAATTCATTTTACAAGTTTGTTATTTTTTAACCTGTTAACATTGTTGATATCGAAATCGTTAGAAAAATATTTGGAAATGTATTTCGCCTAAAGATTGCTAGTCTTCTTTATATAGGTCAAAGTATTTACGTATATTGTTTTGAACTACATGTTGCAAAGTTTGATCGAAACAACAACAATATAATTATTGTGTTTGCGAGCCCTAACCACTATATGTTCTGCGTTTTCATATTTTTATTTCACATATTTATTAGGAAACTTATGTTTATGTTTGTATTTTTTTATGATCAAATTCTTAATTTTTTTTGGAGTTGCTTTACTGCGACCCATTTTCAATAACGAATACAAAAAATTATGTTAGAAAATGTCACAAAGATATCTTAGAGCATATAAGACTAGATGTATCATTCAATGTATTTTGTTATGTATAAGTGGGGTCATCACTTTTGGCATGAGGGGAGAGGGGTAGGTACTCCATTCTCAATGGCGTACGGCTTGAAAGGGTTCGTATTTATGTTTACTATTTATGAACTGTAATTTCACAATAACTAATAATTTAGATAATTGATTTGCATAATTAATAAACAAATTTATTAAACAATGCTCCTTTTCTATTTATCTTAATCTTTCATTATACACTGTATTGTATACATGTTTTACTGGAAATGACTATACGTTCGTTTAGGATTGAAAACTTTTTTTATTGTAGCTGTATGCTTTCAAATGAATTCGTGGTCACATATTATTTTCGTTTAGTTCAAGTAGATCAATTAGGAACTGAATTTTTTTTTATATAAAGTAAATAAAAGAAAAATAAAAACAAATAATAATTTATTTGTAGTAGTAATAATAATAATAATAATATTAAATGTACATGGTTTATAATAAAATTATTAATCAATGTAATCAAAACATAGTTAAGGTTGTGCCTAGATATAATATATGTGTTTATAAAACACAAAAAATGAAATAAACATTAATACTACCGAATTCCCATGAAATTTATTTAATATTTATTTGTTTAGGTCACCACTTAACAGTTAAAAATCATTTACCTATAGAATGGGATGAATACAGAAAAAATACATTTTATTCGTGAAATATATCATACACATTTTCAGGCAAAAAGTGTTCAATTAAATTTTACTGTCTATATTAGAGCACAAAACATTTTAAAATTATCACACAAAAACTAACATACTACCAATATATACACAATAGATACTATATTCACATACAAGAGATAATATAAAATACAGTATGTACCTAATTATTCGTAATAGACATATTTATTAACTTTACAAGCAGAACACAATAGCTTATTTTGCTTCAACTGACTGATTTTGTTGAAACTTGCTGCCAACATCAACATATCCAATATATTTATGCCCAGTCCCTTTGCATAATTGCCATTTCATCCATCGAAAGATTCAAAAAACCTTTCTTATAACCTTTCGACTTTCTCCGCCTTTAAATTTAAATGCTCTTCAGTGAGTCCAGGAGAACCATCAACAGCCTAATACCACTTTGATAAAGTTCTGGGATGTGGGAGACAATTGTTAAATTTAATAATTGCGGAGGATATTGTTCGAACATTTAAATAGTCATTTATCTTTTGATTAGATACTGTTTTTTAAAAAAATTAAGATCATGGTGCGACATGTTCTCACAAATAGAAACATCAACAACTATTAAATTTAGGTAATTTTTAAAAAATAGATGTTCTTCAACTTTAAGTTTCCTAATATATATAATGGAAATAAAATTATAAAAAGGCCGAACATATAATGCTCGTACCTCAGATAAATTTAAAAAGCAGAGTTTTTTTTATATCTTACATCAACATTTCTTTCATATTGCTAGCTGTATATATCTCTTTTAAAACTAGTTCATTCATTGAACCAAATTTAATTCTTTCCTGTTTTGATTCCTTATTAACGTTTCATAGAATTCACCTGAATAAAATAGGATACTTTTTGGATGTGTATATACTATAATATAGTAAATTATAAAGTTGCTCTTATAATAGTATTATCGGTTTGTTAGCTAGTGCATTTAGCATCAGGCATTGAGTTATCTAGCTCTCAGTGGTCAAATATGAAAGCGGTTCTGCTCCAATAATGTTCATTTTAAGACATGATTAACGTATTAGCAATACATTTTTGATGATGCGTCATCCCTCTAGGCTGTCGTGTCAACTATGATAATTGGGGATGACCTGGCCCAAGTAACACAAAAGTTATATAAGGGTTATACCGACGTTGCAACGTTTCTTAAAACTCAGCAACTTACATACTCTAACTATACCGTTATTATATATTATTATGCGACTTTTGGTGGATATAAACAAACTAAAAGTATAAGTTTTATAGTAGTTGCTAAAACTCCAGTTATAACTAACTTATAACTTTATAAAAAGATAATGTTATTAGGTAATTACAAATGGATATAAAAACGTTGTTAAGAGTTGTTATGTCACGATATGATTTGGTTTTATCTATAGATTATTATTTATATATCTAATGAAGACCAACAGGTATAAACGTTTTAGAGTTACTTCTTACAAAATGACATTATTTGAAAAATTACGAAAAAAAAATAAACTAAAAATATTTCAAAATAATTGTTATTTTAAATAAAAACATATTAATGTAACCTTATTTTGTCTACATATTGCAATTAGTGGAAAGTTTGTGTTCCTTTTTACCGAATAAAATGGCTGGATTTTCTTAAGGCCAAAAAGTACCAGGGAAACTAAACTAAGCGACTATCAAAATTAGGTACTAATGGCAAATTTTTCAATAATCTCAAATGATACCTACCTCGTTTAACAAATTTTATCCTTACAATACTGTTAATTTAAAAATAATTATTTTAGAGCTAAACGGTTATTTATTTCCATTTGGATTAAAAAAATGTGATTAATTCGCACAAAATTTGCATTTCAATAAGGTCGAGTTGTCTCCCGTTGGGACATTTTAGGTAAATTATTTTAAGATTTTTTTATATAAAAAATGTAATTAATTTACCTAACCTGTCCGACTTGGAGCCGTCGCGGTTTGCCTCGCAAAAAAAATATAGAAAAATAAGAAAAATTCAAACAAAAATTTTAACTAATTTACCTAACCTGTGCGGCCTGGAGCCCGCGAGGGTTGCTTCCCAAAAAAAATTATTCAAAAAAGGGAAAAATAAAAACTTACCTAATTTATCTAACCTGCGCTATTTAAATTTAATTGATTGCTCTCGCGTATGTAAGGTAAGTTAGTTTAGTTTCTTTTATTATAAAAAATTTAATTAATTTATCTAACCTGTGTGGTCTGGATCCTACGCGGTTATCCTTGCAAAAAAAAATTATGAAAAATAAGAAAACTGAAAACAAAAACTTTGACTAATTTAGCTAACCTGTGCGGCCTGGAGCCCTCGAAGGTGGCTTCGCAAAAAAATTATACAAAAAAGGGAAAAATACAGAAAACCTAACCTATTTACTTAACCTGTACGGCCTGGAGCAATTTAACTGATTGCTCTGACACAGGTTAGGTAAGTTAGTTAATTTTTAGGTAAGTTAGTTAAGTTTTTAAAAAACCTAACTAACTTACCTAAGCTCTGTCAGAACAATAAGTTAAATTGCCCCAGGCCTAATAGTAACTACAGTTAAGAGCGGTATCCATGCAACACCTAACAGCAAATTCAGATTTAGAACACACTGACAACTTTCAATGCATCTGAACCCACTTTGGCAACGTTGCTCTATTCCCAGGCTTACGCTCCCTTCAATTTATTACTTATCTTATAAACTATAGATGATTTAAAATATTAAAAATGCCGATAAATCGCAGGTCCGGTCTAACAAAGAGTATTTCTGTTTTGTTTTCTCGTTTAAAATATCTTTTAAAGGTATAACCTGGTGTAACATTTTCGAAAAATTTTTTTTATAACTAATTTATTTATTTACGAAATATATTTTTAAATATACATATGTACCTATTTCTACATTTTCTGATATACAGGGTGTTTGTTGGTAAGTGTGAATGATTTTAGGGAATGTTTGCCGAAGTTATTTTATAAAAAAAACATAGATCGAAAAAGTCAGTGGCGCAGTACTTTTTTATTAAAAAAGTGGTATTCTCGCACAAACGCCACTGGTACAAGTAGAAATATTTGGAACACCCCAAAAAATACACATTTGCCCCTTCAAAGTTTTTTTGCAAATTTAGAGTAAATATTTTTAAAACTATTAAAAATAATTAATAAAATTTAATAAATTAAAATTTAAACATTCTGTATCTCGGAAACGAAGCATATTTCGACCTACTTTTATAGGAACTTTTTTTAACAAAATAACTTTGATAACAATTTGCAAAAATCGTTCGTACTTATTTACAAATACCCTGTATAAAAATACTTTTTTTAAATAATAACCCATTTGATACTAGTTTGTGCAACAACAGTGGACAATCCACTGGAGTTGTACAGTATGTTTTTTTCTACGACCCACTAACGAAAATCTACAAATTTAAAGTATTATTTTAGGAAAAGACATAATAATTAATTTTAAAATAATTTATGACTTTACTAATTTGTGAAATAAAATAAACATGAAAAAATATTTCATTTAATTAGTTCCCAGCCCAGATTTGAACTCGGACCTCTCGCGTGAAAGACAGATGCCGTATCATCATTTTCACCTCCACATTTAAAATTTTGGTTCTAAAAGTAGTAATTAAATTAGTTTCATATAGGTAGTTAATTCAAATTTAGGATTTTTTAAATTGTGGTCTAAATTAAAATTATTTATGAATCCTACGCAAAAATAACTCATTTTAATGTATATTTAATTTCAATTCCTAAAAAATATACTGACAATTAGTTTGACAGAATTATCACTTATTTAAAATTTTAAAAATAATAGTTGTTGGGTGTCCAATATATAAACTGTGATTGGTGGATTTCATTTTTTTGCAGTGTTCTCACTACC